ATAAGATATGAGTCTATATTCTTTTGTATGCTAAGTCAGTAAGGCTTAACTTTACTTAGTTACACATGTTTAACTTTATGCACTTGTACAGTTTCAAAAGCAATTGAGCAAATTTTCTATATTGTAACTGAGAAATCAATAGGATTAAACATGTTCTTATAGTGAAATGTGGTTTTAAGTTTTATAGAATTGGGGCCTAAATCTGGATTTGCTCAGACTTTTCGTAAATAAGTGTTTTTTCTTCCCCTACTTTAGGGCTGCTGCTCAAAGTAAGCTCAGCAACTACAATGAAGCAATAAAAGACTGCGAGAGAGCAATAGCAATAGATCCAAAATACAGCAAAGCATATGGGAGAATGGGGTAAGATAATCCAGAATTATGTAAGCATGAAGGGACAGATTTTTGGAAGGTGTAAATCATTGTAGCTCTACTTAAATCAGTGGGGTTGTCAAGGCTGTCTCCATCCTAGCATTTTGAGTCCGGAAGATGGAGGCCCAAAAGAGACTTTAAAATATCCTGCCACTAAAGGCTTCTGTTTAAAAACTCCCCATAGTCACAGATTCCGTGGCCTTGGATTGGTATTGCTGCCACCACCCAAATGCAAAAAAAACCCCTTTGAGAATCCAGGAAGATGCATTTGGGAACTTATTCCTGTGGGATACCTCACGCTCTTTAACCCTTCCTCTGGAGAGATCTTGAAAAAACTGTGACTTTTCTTAATAGTTGACTTCGCAATCTTAGGCATGTGCACACAGAACCTTCTCCTTTTTAGGACACAGGAATCAGATAATCTTTTAAAGGATGATTTTTATCAACAAGACAAGGAAAACATACTTGGTGAAAAATCAGTTGGTTGCTAGGTGTTACACAGCAACTAAAAAAAAGATTAAAACAAAGAGAATTGCTTCCTGGGATCCAGTTTGGACAGTTACAGGGTAAGGCGTGTTGTATGTGCTCAGAATAGAGAAGTCCAAAAAAACCCAAAATAAAGAAAATCAATTTGATCATGTCTGACTAAACAGTCCCTGTTCTGTTCACATATCGGTTGTTCCAAGATAGTCCTTCCCTAGGCATGGATATCACTACATACTCCATGCCCTGCTTCCTGGCTTAGTTCATGTCTCCCAGCTCTCCTCTGGTCACATCAAGACTAGAACAGGAAGGTCACTGCTTTCAAATAAAAAAAAACACACTCTGTTTTCATTGGCTCTCCTCGCTTCCTGCCAACTCACTTCTTGTTTCCCTAGCATTCCTGGAAACTCTCTAGGACCCACTTTCTATGGTTTTAACCCTTACAGGCAGTTTAGTTAACTGAATGTCTGGAATGTCCAGAAAAGGGGATCATCAGAGGGGAATTCCAGATTGTGTTGAGTGGTGCTAAAAAATGTAGTTGTTTTGTGACTAAAGCTGGCATGAAGTTCTATGTCCATGATCTCTCCTAGTGACTTTCTGTCATATTTGTTCTGTTTATACCATATATTGTTTTCTTCAGTTTATCAACACTGCAAACTCAGGCTGTGTTCTTTTTTGCTCCTGTATAATCACCAGTAGTTATTCTGTAACTGGAACAATGACTATTCTGTTAATGATAATTGATACAGAATAGAACCCAGATCCCTCTCTCAAAAGTGCTGGGCTGCAGAGCTATGGGGAATACAGACTTATTTTTCTCAGTTACATGCAGCCAGGACGCAGATCTTTGGAGGTGAAAATGTTATTTATTCTTTCGGACCATAACATGGTACTCTAAAGTACACACTGTTATGAATTCACATCTTCACGTGTCTGACTTTTTTCAGTTCCCTCTGCAGAGGCACTTCTGTGTTAGAGATATTCCCAAGGGTGCCCATGCAGTTGCTTTGTGATTTCTTTGTGCTGTCATAACTGGGCAGGGCAATCTATCATTGCATGCTTAGTGTGTGGGAGTTAGAATGTAGGACCCTCGATACCAGAAATACAAGCCTTTACCACTTAAGTTACAAGCCTCTCTGGCTGATGTTGTAATAGTAACTTACAGGCAAGACACTGTGACGTATAAATGCTAAAGTAGGCCCGACATTCCATGTAACTATATGCATAAAGAGAATCAGACCCTCTAACCAATAAAAATTAAGTTCACCTGGTAAATCTTTTTAAAGAAATGTTAATAATAAAACAAATATCTAGTGCCAAATTCTTCCCCCAGAGGCACTTATATGGCTCTTGTTGAAATCAGTGAGCTCCGTATATGTGCATGCTAATGCTGACTTTGGTCCTTAGCATGAATTTTAATCCTGAAGATTGAATGAATACTAATGGTTTAATCTTGCGAAAAATGTGAATACAGCACATTGTGAACTATCCGGAAAGATCAAATGGAATCATGCATCTTTACTACCTAAAGTTTTATGAATCTCTCCATGTTTGAACGGGCTCTTGGCCCTAATCTAGAGGGAGAAGTATGGCCAGCATAGTATAAGCTTCTGTAAATGTGTTTGTGCCAAAGTGTGTGATCTGAAGTGCAATGGAGTCTCTTGGGTACATCTATACCATGATAAAAAAAACCCTAAGATTTAGAGGCTTAGTTGAGAGAGAAACTCTGCTTCAAGGTGTGTACAGAGCTCGAAGAAGCACCCTTTCATATTTCATTAGTTGCTATCCTATGAATGCATGGCCTAGAACAGCCAGAATCATTTGGCATTTTCCTTGTGGCAAAGAATCCTTGATAAGGCTTGCCTGAATGTGGATCATCTGTGCTGCAGAAAGTTATGTGACAAAAGAAAATGCCATCGCCAGTGAATATACATCAGTACTTTGATTCTGGTAGTAAACTTGTATGTATTTCAGTGTGATCAGGATCTAAGTTAATTGTGAGATTCCCTCACTTACTCCTATGCTAATTAGATCTGAGACTGCTAGTATCGTTACTACTTTTATATGCTCAGACAGGATTTCTTTATTTCCCACTAGGTTGGCCTTGACCTCTATGAATAAATACCAAGAAGCAATTACCAGTTACCAAAAAGCACTGGTTCTTGATCCAGAAAATGACTCTTACAAATCAAATATGAAAATAGCTGAACAGAAACTAAGAGATCTCTCCAGTCCTGTAAGTTAGCTTAATTAGTTTGTATTTTCAGTGGGTTTTTAAATAACTCAAATGGCAGATTATTAGATATAGTAATCTTCAGATACTATTTGTTTTCAGACTGGAACAGGACTGAGTTTTGACATGGCAAGCTTGATAAACAATCCAGCATTCATTAGTATGGTGAGTATATTAAGTATTTGCTTTTAATTAAGAAACAGATTGTAAAATGTTTAAACATTGCTCTTGCTTTACCAAAGAGTATGGTTTTAATGCTTGCCATAACTTGTTTATACATCCAAAGCCCAGGACTTGGTAGTGATGGTAGATTTCAACTATTTAGACATCTGTTGGGAAAATAATACAGCAGGAGTGTACAGAATATTCAACAAATTCTTGGAATGTCTTGGAGACAATTTTTTTATTTCAGAAACTGGAGAAAGCCAATAGGGAAGAGGCTTCTAGGTTTGATTTGACAAACTGAAAGGAATTGTTGAAGACATTATTAAAGGTATAAGAACAAAGTGTATCACTGTGTAGGCAATATAGGAAGTATGGCAAGACACCACCCTCTCAGAACCTGGAGAACTTCAATAACCTGAAACTTAGAAGAGTGTCCTACAAAAAGTGGAAACAAAGGCTGAATATAAACAATTAACCCAAGTGTGTAGGGACAATTAGAATAGACAAGGTATAACATGAGATTAAACTAGCTAGAGAAATAAATGGTAGCAAGAAAACAGTCTATACATGCATTCAGAGTGAGGAGATTACCAGTTACTCAATGGAGGACAGAAAATGTGGAAATGGTAGAAGTGCCGGAACATTTTTTTTGTTTCAGTTTTTACCAAGAAGTTGAGTAACAACTAGACATGTAACTTAATGAATGCCAGTGAAAATGAGGAATGTTCAGAGGCTAAAATAGCGAAAGAGCAAGTTAAAACTTACTTAAACAAGGTAGATGACTTCAAGCTGCAAAGGCACCCTGAACCATTAGTGATTATCTCTGAAAAGTCATGGCATATGGGAGAGATTCCAGCAAACTAGAAAAAGGGCAAATATAGTATCCATCTATAAAACGGGGAATACGGACAACATGGAGAATTAGTCCAATCAACTTTAGTACCCAGAAAAATAATAGAGCAAAAATTAAATTCTCAATTTGCAAATACCTAGAATATAATAAGTAACAGCATGGACTTGTCAAGAACAAATTGTGTGAAACTAATGTAATAGCTTTCTTTGGCAGTGGAACAAGCCTTATGGATATGTGGGAAGTAATAGATGTGGTACATCTTGACTTTAGTAGGGCATTTAATATAGTCTTACATGATCTCATTAACTAGGGAAATGCAACTTAGATGAAGCTTCTGTAAGGTGAGTGTGTAACAGGTTAGAAAACTGTTTGCAGAGAGTAGTTAGTGGTTCACAGTCAAGCCACTGAAATGGTATATTGAGTGGGGTCTCACAGGAATCAGTTGTTGGACCAATTCTGTTAAGTATCTTCATCAATAATGTAGGTAATAGCGTAGATAGTACACCTATGAAGTTTGCAGACAAGACCAATCTGGGAGGCATTGAAAGTGCTCTGGAGTATAGGATTATAATTCAAAGTGATCTGGACAAACTGGAGAAAAGGTCTGAAATAAGATGAAATTCAGTAAGAACAAATGCCAAGTAGTCCACTTAGGAAGGAGTGCAATGCGTCAGTTACACACATAAATGGGAAATGACTGCATAGGACAGGGGTCTCAGCCCCTGGGTCATCCCTGGCTGCAACAACTGTGCAGTGGGGCTTGGGACACCTGGTGGGCTGGGGTGGAGAGCTATCCATTACTGGTTCCCCAAACCCTGCCACTTCCCACTATCTCCCCACCTTCACTTCTCTATGGCATCCTGTCCCCAAGGATGTGGCTTCAAGGAGTCATGGGTGGGAGGGGCTCCTGCCCTCCCCATCTCCAAAGCCACATGCTTGAGAATGGGGTGTCATTGGGGGAGAGGGAGGGAACGATGGCAGGAAGGGGCAGGGTTTGGGAGCCAGTAACAGACAGCCCCCTCCGAGCCCACCAGGAATTCCAGGCCAGATTGCGCAATTGCTCCAGCCGGGGATAGCCCATGGGCTGGGAGTTTGAGACTCCTGTCCTAGGAAAGGGGATGGGAGTCATAGTGGATCACAAGCTAAATGTGAGTCAACAGTATAACATTATTGCAAACATCATCTTGGGATGTATTAGCAGTAATGTTGTAAGAAAGTCATGAGAAGTCTGCTCTACTCCACACTGATGAGGCCTTAACTGAGTATTGTCCTGTTATGGACACAGCATTTCAGGAAGGATGTAGACAAATTGGAGAAAGTCCAGAGAAGAGCAACAAAAATGACTAAAGGTCTAGAAAACATGAGCTATAAGGAAAGATTGAAAATGCTAGGTTTCTTTAGCCTGGAAAACAGAAGACTGAATGGGACATCAGTTTTCAACTACATAAAAGATTATTACAAGGAGGAGAGAGAACAATTGTTCCTTTTAAGCTCTGAGAATAGTACAAGAAGCAATGAGGTTAAATTGCAGCAAGGGTAGTTTAGGTTGGACATTAGTTAAACACTTCCTATCTGTCAGGGTGGCTTAGCACTGGAATAAATAGCCTAGGGGAGTTGTAAATTCTCCATTGTTTGAGATTTTTAAGAGCAGGCTAGCCAAGCACCTGTCAGGGATTATCTAGATGGATGTTTTTCGAATGTGGTCATTGTGGCTGATTGTGGCTAACAAGGGCTTTTCTTGTAGCCATAGCTCCGTGAATGGTAATGAGAGGCATAGCAACGGCTCCTCCCCTCCCCAGGACCACCAGCAGCAATTGGGCCCTGCTCCTCTCTGGAGCCACAAATGGCAGAGGGGCAGGTAGCTGCTGTGAGTTCACCCTTATTGTGGGCAGTGGGGCTCAGACTTCTGACTTCAACTCTGAGGTGGCAGATGACAGGCTCTAGCTCTAGGGTTTTGAGTCTGGGATCACCACCTTGTCTTCCTGCTTTGCCCTGGGTCTCCACATCCTCTGGCCACAGAGCTTCTGGATCTGGCCTTCAGTCATCTGTCCCCATGACCACTGGTCTTCACTGCCTCCTCCAGCCCTGGGCTTCAGCTGCACAGTGGCGATCTCCAGAGTGTGGGGCCCCAGGATCTAGCCATGGCACTTTGGGCTCCAGTTTCAGTCCCTGGCTATGGGTGTCAACCCTGGGCTCAGTACCCTCCCAATTGTTCCTGGCCCCTATCTGTGTCCTGTAAGGCTGAGTCTGCTGAGTGAGACCAGCTGCAGCTGTGCCATGGCTCTTTTATAGTGGTGTAGACTTACCTCAGAGACTCCACTGCCTTCCTTCCAGGTGAAGACCTGGCCACTTCATGCAGCTTCAGAAATTTTCTAAGAGAATTGATTAAAATGTAGGTTAAAGAATGTGTTTTCTGCACATGTGCATAAACCTACACTTAATCATACAGGGTTTGCTACTCTGCTTTTTTCTAACCTTTGTCCAATTTGTCCATTTTTTTTCTACTTGGGTCCAGAACTGAATGCACTATTTCAGATGCAGTTGCAAAGCAATCCAGAGAGAAAAACGTTTACTTCCTTACTCATACTTGTGTGTGCACGTGGATGGAGCAGTGCCCAAAATTACATTTGATCTATTTTGCTGCCATATCTTATTACTAACTTGTTTCTAATGTCTGTCTATTACTACTTTTCAGGTTCCTTGTTTGTTTTGAGAATCCATGTTTGAGATTGTTTTCCACCAGGTGGACAGTACTAGTTTTTACTTCCTCCATCTCATTTAGTTATTTCTTACTCATATTTCTAAACACTAGGGACCAGATCCACAAAAGGATTTAAGTGGTGCAGCACCTAACTGTTAGGTATCTAGAAAAGTCAGTGGAACAGTCATCAGATTTGTAAAGCACCATGCTATGGTGTCTAACATACTAGCCACCAGCCACATGTGGCTGTTTGAGCGTGGCTAGTTAGCTTGAACAATAAAACTCATTTTCAGAATAATGTGGCTATTTCGCTATAGCAGTGGCTGCTATATTGGCTACTGCTTCAGAACTGGTTGGACACCATGTCACTTAAACCCTAGCTGCAGGATCTATACACCAAAGGAAGACACAGTTTGCTCACTGATCTTCCTTCCCTGCCAGACCCAATCTGATAAGTGTGCTTAAAGCATGCCCACTGGAACTGGTCTCATTCAAAATGCAGGAAGTGGTGCCCAACAAATGGGCTATGGGATATTGTTGCGTGGGTCCCTTTCAATCTGTCCTGTTGAAGCATTCCAAATAGAGTCACTGAAGCAGGAGTACCACTGGCTCCTAGGTCTCTCACCTTATGGATAGGTACCCTTGACACTTCTCTGCATAGGTGCTGGAATAGTTTTATAATGGGGGTGGGGGTGCTGAGAGCCATTGGACAGAACTGCAAACCCTGTAAATGATGGAAATCACTGCCAGGGGGTGCTGCCACACTCAGAGCACCCCTAATTCCAGAACCCACCTTTTTGTGTGGCCTTCTGACTATTTAATTATCCAGACTGAGCACAACCCAAAAATATCCCATCTCCCAATGGTTAGAACAGTCTCCTGAGAGGTGGAGGAGCACTGTTTAAATCCTCTCCCCCCATCAGGCAAAAGGGAAATTTAACCTAAATCTTCAACATCCCAAGTGAGTGCTCTAACCACTGGCCTAAATGTTGTAAGGTGGGTACACGACCACTCCCATTTTGTGTGGAAAGAGGTGTACACTTAAATCATTCTCACAAGAAATGGCTTGGGCATTGTCAGAAGGTAGCGAACCCTTTGAGTCAGGTGCTCAGTCTATTTCTGACAAGCTCCACAAAGGGGAAAGTGAGGCAATTCAGGTGCACCTGGTGCTAATTAACTGAGAGTAATTGGGAGGCAGTTAATTAGGCAGGGAAGCTCCAGCCATGATAAAAAGGAAGTTACTCCTAGTAGACACCACTAAAGAACAGAGACTTTTTGGGAAAAGAGCAGAACCCAGAACAAGGAAGCTTCCGATGGGATGTTTTTTTATGGGGTGCTATTATGGAAGTTCACTGGAAAAGGAAACCAAGTTAGGTGTAAGATTGCTCCAAAGAAAGGAAGGAAGGAAGGCCAAGTATAAGCAGAACCTGGTCTTCATGGAAAGATTTAATCAAGTAGCAAAAGCCCCAGCTTGGAAGAATTCTATGTTGATATGAGAAAGGGTCTCACAATTTGACCTCTGGTGGGATCTTAACCCAAGAGGAGAGATCCTCTCTCAGAAGATGACAAGAGTCCCTGGCTGCAGAAGAGGTTCTGCATCGAGGTCCCATTGTTCATATTCCTTATCAGAAGTGGAGTTGATGGACTAAGGTTAATTCAGCCCTTTTACCCTTCAGCTGGAGATGCTGGGGTAAAGGCCTATTTGTAGCATTCCACCTTCAGGTTATATAGATCACAGCTTTGACAGATGTAATTGCACTGCTGTGGTAGGCAGCCTGGAAATGTGCCAGGGGAAGGGTCCCTAAGCTGCTTGATTCCAGAAGAGGTGTTCTCTGCCATTGACTGCACATGAAGTTAGGCATCTCCTTACAACCTGGATTTAAGTGCCATGGGAGGAGCATAAAACAACACTTCCACCTCACCCCCAACAGCATCTGTCAATTGCTAGCTTAGGCGGCTCTCTACCCAGCTTGCTGGCTTTTGTGGGTTGCGTTTTAATCTCCTCATTCACTTACAGGCTGTGTCTACACTGGTGTGATCTTGTGCCAAAGCGGACGCTCTTGCACAAAAACTTGCTGCCTGTCTATAGTGGCCGTGTGTTCCTGCACAAGTAAACTGACGTTCTACTGTATAAAATCAGGGCTTTTTGCGCAAGAACTATGATGCTCCCACTCAGGAATAAGCCCTTTTGCGCAACTGTTCTTGCCCAAGAGGCCAGTGTAGATATGCAACATGAATTTCTTGCGCAAGAAAGCCCTATGGTTAAAATGGCCATCAGAGCTTTCTTGCGTGACAGAGCGTCTGCGCTGGCATGGATGCTCTTGCGCAGAAGCACATCTCTTGTGCAAAAGCACGTCAGTGTAGACGCTCTCTCCTGGGAGAGTTTTTGCACAAAAACTCTTCCGCAAAAGAGTTCTTCTGCAAGAAGCTGCCAGTGTAGACGTAGCCATAGAGTTGTAATGTCCAACCAGTTCTGAAGCAGTAACCACTATAATAGCTCCTGCTATAGCAAACTAGCCACACCGAACTTTCCAAATAGCTACATGTAGCTAGCGAGTTGGACATTATGGGTTTAAGCACTTCTTTCACTTGAAGATCAGACCAGACAGAATGCTGAAAAGTGACATCTTGACACAACTCTGTATTTTTTTCATTATCTTTTATTTTTTGCCCTTCAGTAAACCTTCAGTCTACATAGTGCTCTTAACCAAACTGATTTGAATTAATTTTGGAGCATAGATCAGGAGACTAAATTTCATATATTCATCTCTGTGTTCTGCAATAAGTTTGTTGCATTCCTCTGAGTTCTTAAAACAGTTCAAGCTGGTGGATTGCAGCATTACTGGCAGCCCACAACATTAAACTTAACATCTGTGTGCTTAAGGTTAAACAGTGAAGTTTGGAGTACATAGCCCCAGAGCATGCAATAACCTCTGACTCAGTAGTCCCCAATGCGGTGCCCACGGGCGCCCGCCAGGCCATTTCTGTGCGCCTGCCGAGTGATCAGGGCCAGCCCCGCCCCCAGATGTGCAGCGCATGGGCGGTGCCAGCCGCTGGGTGCATTGGTGGCACCAGGTGTGCAGCGCGAAGTCTGTGCCAGCCTCGGGCGTGCAGCGTATGGGCAGTGCCGTCCCAGGCACGCAGCATATGGGAGGCTCCGCCCCCGGGTGAGCGGCGCAAGGGCTGTGCGGGCCCCGGGCTTGCAGCGTATGGATGGCGCCGAACTGGGCGTGTGGCATAGGGGCGGCGCCAGCCCCGGGCGTGCAGCACATGGGTGGCCCCACTACTGGGCGCGTGATGCATGGGCACTGCCAGCTCCTGGGCGTATAGCACAGGTGCTGGCCCTGGGTGCGCAGTGTATGGGCGGCTCCACCCCTGGGCATCCAGCACAGTTGCGGTGCCAGCCCTGGGAGTGTGGCACATGGGTGGTGCCAGCTCCGGGCACACAGTGTATGGGTGGCCCCGCCCCTGGGCATGTGCACGGCCCCGCCTCCTGGTGCTCGGCGTGTAAGCGCCTCTGCTACCGGGCGCCCGGCAGCCCCAAAAGGTTGGGGACCACAGACTTAAAAGAGATGCCAGTTTGGTCACATCCCAAAGTTTTCTAGGGTAGAAATGGTCTGTGAGGAAGGAGTAGATGAATTTTCTACATGGCTTAGTTTATTAAGTTGCACAGGAAGCCTATGTTGGGCAATTGCATTCTTCAGCAATCTCCATCTGCTTTGAGTTTAAAATGTTCTCTTCCGTCTTTATCTAACAACATGAAATGGATTTTTTGTAGTGTTTCCAGAGGTTGACTGATAACTGAAGTGGATTGAACCCAGAACTGGGAGCCAGAAACTCCCAAGATCTCTTTTTGCTTTTTACCACTGTCTAACCTTGAACAAGTTGCTTGTGACTCAAGTTTCAGGCCTTTGATCTCCTGGACCAAATTCATGCTGAGATAAATGAATACAATTTCATTAATATGAAGGAGTTGCAATCAGTTTGGCTTTTTATATGTCATTCCCTAACTGTAAAACTGATACGTATTGTGATCAACATTCCTTCTAATCATCTCCATCCATGTGCAGAATGAATTTTTGTGTGTACCAAAGCATCTGCAAATGTGCACCACCAGGAGAAAAAAACCTAGTTGTGGGTGTTTTGCTAATCAGCTGGGCAGCATTTGAATCTCTCGTGAGGAGCAGCACAAGTGCACAACTTACAAGGAACACTGGTTGTGAGGATAAATCAATTAAAATGTTTTTTGTTAAAATGTTTTTAGCAGAAAAGTGCCAAGTATTTGTATTTAATTGAATAGATAATATCAATAAGTAAGTGAATATGCAGAACATTTTATATAGAGAAAATGTTCTTTATAGGATCTTTTTATGTATGTACTTCGGATTCCCATCAATTTTTTGGCGTAAACTTATAGAAATACAACACAAACATGTAAATGATCCCATACACAGAAGACTACCCTTTCTGCTTAGATATTTTTACCCAATATAATAACAATAACAACCCCAGCCATCCCAAAACTAACTGTTCCCTCTCATGTCCTAGAAGCCATAAGCCTTTTCAGGTTCCTGACAATAGGCATTACCAGGTAGAAAGCTTTTAATTTGTTCTCTTTCAATATATCATATCTAGCAGAAAACATTAGACAGGATTCCAAGCTTTCTCCAATTCGAATGATGGAAGCTTAATATTAAAAAATACATAATTGAGAGCTGTTTTTTTTTAAACCATTAAGATGATTGCCGAAATATCTGGTGCATTTTAACTTCTAATTTCCAAGGCATTAGGTTAGAGTACCTAGAGATACACAGGCTTCCTTTTTCTTCATGGTTGATTACCCTGAATAGTAATAGTACATTGTAACTGATAAGCATGGTGTGTAGAGTATAATGAATTATATTATCTTCCTGTCCTTGAAATATATTCCTGTAATGAGTCCTTTTATTGAGGATCATGTGTTTTTAGAGTCATTAACTTAGTTTGTGTATTGTAATACAAGAAGATATGTATTGTGCTTCTCATTATTCCCTCAGTGATAACTAAATATTTTACTGTATTATGACTTGCAGTACATCTAATCTCTTCCAGGCAGCAAGTTTAATGCAGAATCCTCAAGTTCAACAACTGTAAGTATTAACATGGAGTATGAGCAAAAAGATGTGTTAGTGGTGTCTGAGTGGGTTAGCAAAACAAATGCAAATGGCAATGGATTACTAAAATGTGTATTATGTTCTTGCTATTATTGACTTTACAGCTGTATCCTTTGTAACTAGTGCTACCACAGTTTAGTTTCCCCTACAACTCACTAAGGCTACTGCATGATTATTTCGGAATAAGCTATTCGGAAGAAATACTTTGAAATAGATTATTTAAAAATAGCACGTCTACACTACAGGAAAGCCTGGAAATTAGTCTGAGGCAGGCTCCCCTAATGTGGATGTGCTATCTCGATTTAGAGCCCCAAGAAGCACTGGGGTGTAATTACTTTGAATGGCCTGGGGGAGGAGCTATTTCGAAATAGCAGTAGTAGAGCATCCACACTACTGCTATTCCGAAATAGCTAATTCAGCAGAGGTGTTATTCCTCGGAATGAGGTTTACAAATGCCAAAATAAGCTGTCAGTTATTTTGAAATTATTTAGATATACGGGCTAGTTGTGTAGATGCTCACATATTGATTTTGGAATAATGGACAGAATAACGGAATAATAGACGGAATAACGGAATAATAATCCAGCAAAGAACTGCTGGATAATAACAGATAATAACATCACAATACTAATGCTGTGTTTACTGTTCTAGAATGTCGGGGATGATGTCTAATGCCATTGGTGGCCCTGCTGCTGGTGTTGGTGGCCTAACTGATCTGTCAAGCCTCATACATGCGTAAGTGTTGTGAAGATTTACGTATTACCTCATATTTGTAAAAACTGCTCTCAACTTTTGTTTAAAAGAGATAGTGTCAAGCTGAGTTTTGGCCTTTGTATTCCTAATAACCTTAGATTATTAAACATTTTACTTTACATTTTACTCTTCACTATTTTTGTTTAACTTATTTTGTACATTTCATTCATTCAGTTTGAACAAGCAAACTAACAAGTTGATTTCTCTGCCACACCAGCTTCCTCCCATTTAAACGGGAATGGGTTGCTACTTCAAGCAACGTGAATGCAGTATCACATGAGGAGGGAGGTGGTTTCTACAGTAGCTCAGATGCAAACCAGTTAGGGTTTGATAGGCCATCAATCAAATAAAATCCAGTGTACAACAGAGCACCATGTAATATGCTCATATGCCAAGCACGTAGTTGGACTGTACACATTTAGACATTTCCAAATAGTTTTTAGATGCAGTCCCACAAAGAGTCTGTTTTAATAGTTCACATTATTGGAAACAATAGTGTGAGTAATTTTGGCAAGGACCCCCATTCCTTCCTGCCCAGTGCACATCATATTAAAGGAGTATTGGTAACTACTGCTATCTGAGCAAAATTGTGAAGCTGCAGCTGATCCCTCGAGAGGTTATTCATGGAGTAACGGATTTCTTTCAGTTGTTTTTCCCAGTGATAAACTATTTCATGTGTCTCGCCTGAGGTTAATTTTAGCCAGTTAGCTGAATATAAGCCTAGCAGGTAAATGTAGATCAGTGATTGTTGGGGTGGAGTGAAGTCCAATTATAGAGATTGGGTACTGTGAGCATATTGGAGATAAAATTACTTTGCATTTTGCCTATGGCCTCACTTACATGTGTACAAAATGGGTAGCAGAATACATCTTGGAAACCCCACATCAGATTGTTGCTAGGCTAGAGCAAAAATTGCTTGATGGCATCTCTTAGAAGGAAAGGAGCAGAACCATTCAAGAGCACCTTTACTTACCTATGTTAGTGTCTGCAGGTTAGTCAACTGTAGTTCTCATCAAAAGCAGCTGGATAGGTCTAAAGACACATGTCCATCTGTCATCACAACAGAATTCAAATAGTCACACCCTGATTATCATTTTAATACTTACCATCCCAGTCATGCTTGCTTTTGCCTTCATTTACATAACATAACTTTCAGCTCTCATAAAACTTGCTGTTTTCTTACGAGGGATGCATGTCAATTACTTGCCTGTTGATTTACAAAGAAAAAACCAACAACTGTTCAACACAGGGGGCAGCAGTTTGCACAGCAGATACAGCAGCAGAATCCAGAACTCATAGAACAACTGAGAAATCATGTCCGGAGCAGATCTTTCAGTGGCAGCACTGAAGAGCATTCCTGATTTAAAGGAGGCATGTGTTTGTAGAACTGGAAATGTGAATGGTGTATAATCCCAAAATGCATATTGTAGCTAATAGCAAAAGCATCATTGTAACTACTCTGCTTGGACATGAGACAGAAAATCCTTTGTCTGTTCGTGAAACAAGAATAAATCTGTTAAAACAGATCTGTTGCACACAAGTTTAAACATATCATGTATGCGTAGTGAATCCTTTGTAAATTTATAGATATATAAAATAGATTCATTGACTCATTAAAATTCCCAAATATAAGTTACCATGTTTAAGTCTTTCACATTAATGAAAACAATATGTTAATGGATGTTAAAACTTGCCTTTTCTTTTAAGAGAGGCTACTTACTGTGCACCGAGGCTGCAATTTGGAGTGATTTCAAGGGCTGCTGAGAGGGGAAGCGAGTCTAATGCTTTCAAACGTGCTGGCATGCCTGTGTATAAGAATTGTTTTTAAAAAAATACCTTGTAAAAGGCCTGTTGTTCAGTAGCAAAGGGTTGCTTCTTGCCAGATCAGCTATGAAACAGTAGATCTGATTAGCAGTCTGCTCCTTGTGATGAGCCCAAGTGTGTGATGGAGAGTGCAGTGTGGATTTAAAATGTGTCCGAGGATAAGCCCTGTGGCTTCATAGCACTGAATTTTCAGTGCTTGTTGAGAGGCTTCTGGTGTCAGCATCACATGCCTTTCAACTTTACCTGGTGGGTAGTAGAGACTTAGGAGGATTAAGAGTTGAGTGTATAGAGGATGATAAAACTGAGCTAGGAGGAAGATGTACAGAAATCCGAGAACAAGACCAGGACAAGAGAGAAGGAAATAGGAATTTCTACTGGCACGTGTCCCCAAATCATATTAGTAGCTCTGGAGGTCTCCATTATGCCACTAATAGCATAGACATGGAAAGCTGTGCCTCATTCCTGTGTTTATATAGTATACAACCTGAGTTTAAAAATCTTTAATGGTGATTAACTAAACTACACAAGTTATTAGCACTGAAAACTTAGGGAATTGCTTTAGAAAAAATAAATCAATATGTACCACAGTGCAGCAAATCACTGACTTATGGGAAAAAACACAGTTAAGGATTTTTGAAGTTTAACTATACCATAAATGTGTACATTTTAAATGAGTGATGAATAATGAAAAGGCCATGAAATAGTTTTTCTAGTCTACAGTGTTCCTCTTTCCAGCTCTCCTAAGCTTACCTTTTTGTACCCTCTGGATTTTCTATACTTTTAAAAAAATATTTTTGTGCCCTGTTTCCCTTCAGCTGTTTGTTGATGCCATCTACTACTGCTGGATACACTTAGGCTGTGTCTACACTGGCACAATCTCACGCAAAAGCGGCCACTCTTGTGCAAAAACTTGCTGCCTGTCTACACTGTCCGCGTGTTCTTGCGCAAGTACACTGACGTTCTAATGTATGAAATCAGGGCTTCTTGCGCAAGAACTCGGATGCTCCCGCTCAGGAATAAGCCCTTTTGAGCACCTGTTCTTGTGCAAGAGGCCAGTGTAGACAGGCAACATGAATTTCTTGCGCAAGAAAGCCCTATGGTTAAAATGGCCATCAGAGCTTTCTTGCGCAAGAGAGTGTCTATACTGGCATGGATGCTCTTGCATAAAAGTACATGCCAGTGTAGATGCTCTCTTTTGGAAGAGTTTTTGCACAAGAACTCTTCCACAAAAGAGTTCTTACGCAAGAAGCTGCCAGTTTAGATGTAGCCTTTGTCTTGGTCTATTTCAGTGTTTCTCAACAATCGGTCCATGCACTGGCACCATTCTCTGAGATCTCCTTGACACAGTTTAGGAAGGCAGCAAGTTGGTCCCTGGTATCAAAAAGGTTGAGACACACTGACCTATACTACAAACTTTTTTCAGTGTAACTACATAGCTCACATCTCTGAGTGAAGTAGCTATATGGACCTAACGTCTCATGTAGACAGCACTATTCTCCCATTAATGTAGGTACTGCCTCTTGGGAAGATTGAGTATCTATGCTGATGGGGGAAGCTCTCTTATTGGCATACAAAGTGTCTTCACTTAGAGCTAATGAGGGGACACTGCCCAGAATGTAAGCTAGGTCAGAATTTGGAACTAAAGCAGGATCCTCTTTTGTGATGGGAAGAGGAAAATGTCCCAATTTTGTCAGGCTGCATATTGCCTGGGGTAAATTTTCAGCTGTGTCCCCAGTGAGATGAGGTGAAAAGTTGTCTTCAAATCCAGACAAGAATCTCAGATTAACATCCATTGCATAGAACACTTTACATTTTATTCATTAAATAACTACTACATCATGAATTAGAATATTAGTTTTTTTGTAAAAATAATGCTATTTAAAATTGCACTACATGCTCATTAATGATTGGAGTTCGTTGGAAGCATTAGGCAACCACATCACTGTTCTAAATTGAATAATTGCTAATCTGTTTTATTGGCCTAACCACATGAAAAGAAGTGCCTAGACTGGCTGTGTAAATTGGGAAGAACTAGCTAATGTATATTGCTTTTTTCAGTTATAGTTCAGGTAATTAATAAACTGCCATGTGGGCAGATTGATTTTACTAAAAAGATTATTGCTTTTATTAAAAAATATTGAAAATTGATTAAGTTCCAAGCAACATACAGGTTGAACCACTCTAATCTGGCACCCACAGGACCTTCCTGGTGTCAAACCAGAGAATTTGCTGGACTATGAAAGGTCAATATTGTCTAGTAGCATTACCAACACTTCCACTGCTTACTGGGCTCTTAGAAGACATTTGGGCTAAATTAGAACTAAATAACAGTACAGCACGCTGGTGGCTATAAACAAACTTTATGGGACCACAGGAAACTTGGCCACAGCCATAAGTGGATATCCGCCTAACTAAAATCATGCCGGACCATGGATGTTTGCTGAACCAGTGTGCGCCAGACTAGATTGGTTCAACCTGTAGTTACATTAAGAATCTACACACATGGAAAAATCAGTTGGCAGATTTTTTATATAAAACGCACTTTAAACTGTCCCTGTACCCATAGTGTATTTTCTACTATATTTCACCCCTTCAGATTTCAGCATCTCCACAGTCGAATTCCAGTCTTTTTTGCACTAAATTTAATTTGATTTTTCTTACCCTTTCCTACTAAAGCCTTTTGTAGCTGAGTTTCTGTAATGATTGTTAACTGTGGCTAAGGGATAGCTCAGTGGTTTGAACATTGGCCTGCTAAACCCAGGGTTGTGAGTTCAATCGTTGAGGGGCCATTTAGGGGTCTGGGGCAAATCTGTCAGGGATGGTACTTGGTCTTGCTGTGAGGGAAGGGACTGGACTTGATGACCTCTCAAGGTCCCTTCTAGTTCCATGAGATGATATATCTCCATATTAACAATTATACAAACAAAGGTTGGCTGTAGGGGTTCAAAAAGCCACTCTTTCTGCATGTGGTTATATGTACATATAGCTACTGAGTATTCTGTATTCTATTAGAGCTAGACATGTCATAAACTGTTCCTAAGTAATCATCACTAATGCTATGAACTGTACTCTTGGAACTGTGCTTATTAGGAGTCATAACTTCCATTTCACAGATTGCACTATTTAGAATGTGAGTCTTATTCCAGCAGCTGGAACAAAAATGCTTGTTTTTACAGTTTTGATTACATTACCTAATGCAGAAACATGCTATAATTGACCGTACAAAACTTGCAGTAGTCTATTATGTTTTGCAGCTGGGACTTCATAGCTTAATAAAGTACAACACTGAAATGCCCATCCAGGAAGTTTTGCTTCGTGCTAAAATGTATTTTGTCACTCTGTAGAGTACACTGTTCACATTGTTTTAATCAGTGATTGAGGAAAGAGCTTGTGTACTGTGAAAAAAAATCATACTGTTAAGTGGTAAATCACAATCTAAAAAATATTGCTTTCATTTTACACCAATTACAGTTTATTGGTGAGCTAAATAAAACTACTTAAAACTTATTTGATTTTGTGTCACTATTGGTGCAGCAGCAAATTCATGTGGTAAGCAGTGGGAAATGGAAAGTATCTTGCAAAATGAACAGCTGACTTGACTCACTTTCTTAAAAGATATGTCCAAAAAACAGGTTGGTGTGGAAATGTATTTTCATCTGATTTCCTTTTCTAAAAAAACACAATTAAAGTTGCACTTCAGCATACAGCACCCAACTTAAGAATTTGCTTTAACTAAAGTGCAATTTTGGGTTTGTATTTCAAGAGAGGGAAGCCCCTCCATTATCAAGATTGCAGCAGGCTCCTCTTAAAGCTATTTCCACCTGCCTATTTCAATCTGGTAATTGCACATTCCTGTTTAAGGCAAAGAAGAATTGTAACTGCAATTTGAGAAAACTTATCACTTCTGAAGAACACCAGTTAATTACCACAGTTTCACAATTTGATTTCTCTAAGGACTTGTTGATGTGGGAAGTTAGACATAAGATTCTAACAAACACATTTATAGTGTTGTAACTTGCCATATGAACACTACTATAGCGCAATGAGAGACTCTGAATACAGTCACAGGCACATCCTGGCTTGTCATACTGTAACTTGCTGTGTAGACAAGCCCTATCATTTCTGTATCTGATACCTAAGTTACATTTTACAAGATCAATTTAAAGGTATTTAGATTTTAATTTTGGAGGTGGCCGGGGGTTAAGTAGTTTTGGTGGATGACATGAGAGCATGTTACCCTCTATTAACTAAAATTTATGAAGCACATAATAGTATTTAACTGCTGTTGTTTAGCTTTTGCTAAAGTGAGAGATCAATGTTGCTTATATATGGGGGGGAGGGGAAGCTGAGTGAATTTAAGGGTCAAAGGTCCAGACTTGGCTCTCTGTGTTTAGAAGGTATCAGTAATTACAGTGGGGCTAAGACTGGAAGCACAGTCCCAGTATACTGGTTTGGCTGATTGTGTAACAAGATGAAATTCTCATGGTTTTCCATTGTTGATTAAAAATGAATTTTTAAGTTTAGATATTTTGACCCTTCACATTACTCCATCTGTGCCAACCTTTATCAACAGGATTAGTGAAATAAGGAACGATTAGACAGGAAAGTTTGTAAAATTTGAAGAGGTGACTAAGGGGGAATATGATTAGTCTATAAATCATGACTGAAGAAAGTAAATAATTTTATATGTTATGAATAAATGCTTAATAGGCAACAGGTTTAAAACACACAAAGGAAGCATTTTGTCACACAAAACAGTCAAGCTGTGGAACTGTTTGCCAGAGGATGTTGTGAAGCCAAGCCTAATAGCTATTTTTTAAAAAAAAATCCTAAGTTGAGGATATGACCATCAATAGCTAGTAAGTAGGGCTCTACCAAATTCAGTAAATTTTGGTCAATTTCATGGGCATAGGTGTTTGAAATGTCATGGTATTGTAATTATAGCAGCCCTGATCCAAAAAGGAGTTGTGGAAGGTTTTTTTTTTTTAAAAAAGGTTATTGTAGGGGAGGCTGCAATATTGCTACCCTTATTCCTGCACTGCTACCATCAGAGCTGTTCTGTTTATTCCCTCTAAAGCACCTGACATTGGCCACTGTTGGGATACTGGGCTGAGTGGACAACTGCTCTGACCCAATATGGCTACTGCATGTGATTTTAAGTGCCCAGCTTGGCCTGCCTTAAACAAGACGTTATACATGATTAGTGTGCCCTGCAATTTGCATTCTTTCTTCTGAAACTATCCCCTCCCCCACCAGTGCATCCGTATCCTTACTGACTTTCTAACCAACATGTAGAGTGAAGATGTGCAGGAACAGTACAGCCTACATGTTAAATCTTAGAAACTTCTAATAGACATATCAAACTAGGCAAGGTTGCTAGTTGATAAGCCTGGGGAAAATTGTAGAAACCCAGAGAGAAGGTCTTTTCTTTATTTAGGAATAGTCTTGACCCACTTAAGGTAAACCAGAAATTGTCACTCAAGACAAGGCCCTGGGGAAAAATAAGTTTACTGTACAAATACAAGTTTCCATTATGCATTAGGGAAA